TTGCATTAATTTATACCATTTAATTTTTAGTTAAAACAATATATTCTATATAAATTCATAATTTCAATTTAGGGAAATTGCATATATTAATAATATACCTTATACCTAGTACCTCCAACTTTGCTTTTATCAATTATCAGATGCACGTGATGTCACATGCAATTTGAAATATTTTAAAATACTAAAATTATCCTTTAAGAAAACATTGGACCAAAGCAGCGGTAAATAGAATCCCAAGCCCACCATCAGTCACCTCCTCTAATATTTTCTCACTTTTCCCGTCTTCTTCTTCTTTCTTACCCCTCCATCTTATGCTGTGAGTTTCCTAAATCATCCCCACTTCTTTTGATTATTTATGACAATAAAGGGCAATTTAGTAAATCTACTACCCAATATAACGTCCACTAATCGTGTTGGACTAAAGTGGTACTTTTTTGGAAGTTCAACTGCATACTATGCAGTGGCACCTTTCAAACTTCAGGTAGTAAAGTAAAATCACCTCCAAAAATAGTATATTAATATGTAATTTACCCTTTTAATTTAATTTTCATCACAAATGAATTGAATTTATGCTAAAGAATGCTACATGTAGAGAATGACCGATGAGCCCAGCTCAAAATTCTTAACCCCACTGTACAGGTGGAGTGATGTCAAATGACTCAAATCGACGGGTGGGATGCGGACTATAGTAACTGTAATTTTAGAATTCTACATTGGGCTGCAGTGTACTTATCAGTGTGACATAACCTGAGTTTGAATGATGTGACACATGAATCACTTGTTGTACGTGTCAAAAGATAAAAAAGCAAGTGCACCTTTTAGTTGCATTGTCAACTCTGTTCTAAAAATGAGGTCAAGGGTCCACTTCAAAGGAATCCACCGGCTAGTTGCTATATATATTCCTTAATTTGTTTCTTCAATGAATAATGCATACAAAGTTTAGTTGGAATCAAATAGTGATGATATTAGAAAGAACTTCACTCAAWAATGATAATGGTGCTTCACATTCTCAAATTTCAAAACCATCTGATCCAAGTCATAATCCCCCATAGACAGAACAAAATTTTGATAAATAGGTTGCATGTGATCAGGCATTTGATTCCTAATTGATGTTAACAAGATAGCAAAAATCAAGTGCTCTTTTTAGCAACTATAACACTTGTTCATCAAGGGGATTTTTGGTCTGATCAGTTGATACCCATCTATGTCTTATCTAAGGGAATTTGACTTTGGGTATCTTAGATGCCATATTAGGGTTTCATAAGGAGATAACCGTCCTTTTCAAGAACAACTTGAGTGGTCATACATCTTTTCATGTGTCAGTCATACAAGCAAATTGAAATTGTATGTCTGTGTTATTGTATTTCACACTGGCGGATGAAAATAATTCAAAGTCAAGGCTTCCTAAATCACCCGTTCTAGTGTGTTTGTCCAAGTATTATGATGGGAGTCGGTTAATTGTGTGGACCATAGTATGTGAATCGACTTTCAGAGGGTCAAAACCATATGTTCTTATCTTCACCAGGTAAGTGATAAGTGATGTGCACCAGCAGCTAGCATTTGGTTACATGAGTAATATCAATAACACAATAATTATACTAGGTAGATAGTTGGATTAGTTTTTCAAGCTGTCGATTATAGGGGTGTTAAGTGGACTCGATTTGGTACAATCCGATCCAGTCCAATGTGAGTCCATTATAAATGGACCAAATCCAATCCAGTTCAATAAATGTTTTGAATCAACTTGGATTGGTCCAATTTAATGTTTGGATCATTCAATCTGTTCAAATTTATTTTGATTTAGATTGGTTTCAACCCAAACCCGATCTATTGACACATATATTCTTATCTTATATCAATGGACCAGATATTGATTTAATCCAACCCAATCCAATATAAATTTATTATGGACGGAGAAGGTCCAATCCAATCTAATAAATATTTTGGACCAGATTAGTCCAGTCCAATATGTCTTGTTGGTCCGTCCCATCCGTCCAAAATGATTTTGGACTGGACAGAGTCCAATCCAAAACCGGTCCATTGACACCCTTAATCGATTACTTGGCAACAATAGCTGACCAGGTCTTGGGTTTTGGATGGTTTGGATTGTTCATCCACATACCACAGGGTAAACCACCTGGTTGAACCATTAAATTTGTCATCAAGGAAGCTTAATTTCCGGGTTGAGTGGGTTGATGGCCATTCAATTTTTAAATATCCCTGCTTTAGATAAACACTAGAAACTATGTGAATCAGGGTTTGGATATGTCTCAAGAGGCAGCTAAGCTTGAAATTCTGGTTTCAGATATTTATTTTTTTCTTCTTTATGCAAAAGGGCACACAGTCATCATACAGGGTCATGTGGGGCCTTATAAATCTTATAACTTTTCTCTCTACTTATGTAATCTAGGCTTTCAAGAGACTAAAAAGAATGAAGAGATAAGGGTTATCCCTCTACCTCCATGACTCTTAGAGTCACACTTTCAAACATTTCAGCTACATTTGATGACCCACTTCTCACAAGCCAACCTAATAGATGATGATGTACTAATACTATAACACAATTATCTAATAACCTGATACTATAACACAATTCTTTCAGCTACATTTGATTACCAACTCCAATTAAATCTGTGACCAATCTTGAAAAAATGCCCTGATGAACTCTATCCAAATTCAGAATGATCAAACACAGTTCTATTAAGTAAATATGTGGTTATGTGTCTTGGCCAAGGTTCAAAGTATATCCATACATATTCTATGATATATCTATCAAAGGTTAATACCCTTTCTAGCTAGAGATGTATTGGCTCAATCCTTGAAACTTAAACAAATTTTAAACTAAGCGTGATACCTGGAACCTTGGTCTTGGCCCTTGGATTTTTTATTCTTCCAAATTTGACTAGTCAAGCAAGATAGTTGGATCTGACTGTGTTGCCTGATTGTTTTCCAAGAATGGACACCGGCTGCTAGTATCTACCAAAGTTGCCTAACAACTAATTAATTAAGCTGTCTTATTGGTGGGAAATTGGGAATATGTTTACTAAAACTTATTAAAGGTTTTCTTTAGGATGATGAGCAGATGAATCAGAAGTAGATTGGGCAAAGCTTCTTTATGTCAAAATCTTGTTAAAGGTATTAAAAAGTCATTAATATATAACAATCAAATAATTAAAAGATGATGAAAACTACAATTAATTATTAAAAGCTAGTATATTAATTATTCCTGTTATATACCAATCCAATGGTTGGTTAATATTAAACAATATATACTAACTAACCATGTATCATCATTATTCTAATCGGATAGACTTGCTTCAACATGGATAATATATAATATTAGATACAACTTTTATATATTTCCCATTAACATTAATTAATTAATTAATTCTTATATAAAAAGCTCCATATTATTAAGTTATATTATGTCTAATATATCTGTTCTTTAGGACATGCAGGCTCTGCTGACATGCATCTCTCTGAACTAGATTGAGTTTGATGACTTTGTATTCATGTCTTGCTTTGTCATGAAGTTTTTCCTGCAAGTCAATATGAAAGTTAATTAATCTAATAACTAGTAATTAATTTATTTGTTAATCTAATAATTAGTAATTGATATAATTCTCCATGTAACTCATTAGTAGCGTCGATGTCTTTTGAGTGGGTTCTGTAGCCCTAAATCACAGATGATATCTATGCTGAAATTTCTGAGAAGTAATTATGGGTTTGTAATTGTTGTAATTATAAGTTATGAGATCAATAACTTGGTTATTTAAATATTAGGTTTATCCTTATATCGTTATATATATAATACACACATACATACATTAAAATCATTGTTTATTTATAAATTTATTAGGCAGAGATTTAGGTTCTTTTGAAACCTTATTAGTGCAAAGATGAAAATTAACCTTGTTATATTAATGAAAGAATTAGTTCTTTTAATAGATTATTTAAAAACCAAATTGAGTTGACTCGGTAATGTTTCAATCTGACTCACTGAACAAATCTCCTAGAATCTCTTGATTAATGAGAAAGTAGTGGCGTATAGTGATTGAGGTAAAGATTCATAATGAACTGGTCATTTCAAATTGCAGTAGTCTTCCACCTCTAAATGATCTCTCTATATCAAACCCACTATTGAAGGAGGCAGTTAATTAATTAAAGCCCAGTTTACAAGTAGTTTCTTCAGTTAATTTCTCATAACGATCAAAACTTTGGAAAACTTTCTAACTCATAATCAAAGATCACATAAAAAAACACTTTATTTATTGATCCAAAGGAAATTAATTTTCATTTTTAAGTTTGTTTCAGCCCTTAGAAAGGTGATTTTACTTATTAATTAAATAAAAAAAGCGCCCTTCAAAAGGGTTTCAGTCTTTGAATGAATCCTTACATTTAACTTGCATTTTCCAAGAAAATACATGGATTAATAAAATGTTGGTCTTCTGATGAGACTTTGATTAAAACCTTCAAGGATATATACTTGGAATTGATGAATAGGCTGTAACAGTTCTCTACTTTCTGTTCAAATAGTCATTCCTTTGTGTTTGGGAAGCTAAAGATGAGAACTGAATCCTATTTCTTCTATTTAATCAATTAAATGTACTGATTAGGAGGAAGTGGCCAAGTGGGGATCCTTATTCCTCTTTGTTTCAGTAATAGTAATTAAGAGAAAGCTACCCATCTAAGATGGAGATCCTCTTTGTTTAATTTCTTAGTTGCTTAATTATGTTAGTCCATTGGTGAACAACTATTCTTCAAATAAAAGAAATTGGTTTTGATGAAAAACTCAGTTGGGGAAGTTGTGGAGAGAGAGAGAGAGAGAGTATTGACTTGGGATTTTCCTTGATAGTGAGCTTGAAAAAGGGTGTGGCACGTCTGTGGTCTTGGTCCTCTTGGAGCCTTCTGAAATCTGCTGAACCACGTGTTCTCTGTAAACCTTTTTCTTCCTAACAGGTGTTATATATACCCCACCACCTCCCTCCATTAAATTCACTCCTCCCCTCTCGCTCAGTGCCAAGTCTTCTCTGTTCGGCAGTCTCACCCACAGAGACTCGATCGAAATAGTCATCTCTGTCTCTCTCTCTCTCTCTCTCWCACACACACACAGCAATACAGCATGACAGCAACGAGTTCGCTTTCCTACTCCCTTTTACGACTCTCTTTCTCTACCCTCTAGACCTCATTATCAATTTGTTGAGCATCTGGTGTAGGTGGTGAAGTAATCGAGGCATACCAACCCAACTAGCCAAAATCTCTGATTTATTTGGGATTTTGTGACTCTTGGACGGTGTGTCAGTTTTCAGTGACACACAGTAGAGCTTCTTATAAGTAGTTTGCTCACCTTTGAGAAGACTCAGTAGCTCATTTCCTTCTCTCTCTCTAGTCTCACTTTCAATCCATTCCGCGCTCTCTTTCTATTTTCTGTACAGAAACTGCTTGACTATTTAATAAACTAGCTCTAGACYAGCAAAAGGCAATACCCTGACTCGTTTTGCTCTCTTCCAAGTTCCAAAGATGGCTGAGAAACAGGTGTTTGATCTCTCGATAGATGTGTCTCCACAAGGTGGCTCAGAATGCTTCGATGACGATGGACGTCTCAAACGAACTGGTATTTTCAGAAAATTCTTCTAATTCCCCATAAATGAKCTTGTTCTTTTGCTGTTGCTGTTTCAGTGTTTCTGCTTTGGTTCCTCGTTTCTTTGAGCTAACAATTTCGTTTTGTTTTCTTTTTTCTGGTCTAAATCAGGGACCTTTTGGACTGCAAGTGCTCACATAGTTACGGCTGTGATTGGATCTGGTGTGCTTTCCTTGGCATGGGCCATAGCTCAGCTGGGATGGATTGCTGGTCCAGCTATGATGATCCTATTCTCCTTTGTGATCTACTACACCTCGTCTCTCTTGGCCGACTGTTACAGATCCGGTGACCCGGTCTCTGGCAAGAGAAACTACACTTACATGGATGCAGTTCGATCCAACCTCGGTGCATAACTGAACTTCTCAGAATTCCCCCTTCAGTTAACCAATTAAACAAATGGGTTCTCTAGAAAAGTTCTGAAACTAAATTCCTTCTTTTCAAATCTTCCACAGGTGGAGTCAAGGTTAAGATTTGTGGGGTAATTCAGTACTTGAACCTTTTTGGAGTATCCATTGGATACACCATTGCAGCATCTATAAGCATGATGTGAGTCGAAACTTGGTACCTAACAGTCTTCAACTAACTGTTCCAATGCAGTTTAATGGTATTTATATTAATGGGTCTTCTGTGTTTTGATCAACAGGGCAATCAGAAGGTCTAACTGTTTCCATGAAAGTGGAGGCAAAAACTCATGCCACGTATCAAGCAACCCCTACATGATCATTTTTGGTGTCACAGAAATTCTGTTATCTCAAATTCCAGACTTTGATCAGATATGGTGGTTGTCAATCGTTGCTGCTATTATGTCCTTAACTTACTCTGTCATTGGGCTTGGACTTGGGATCTCCAAAGTTGCAGGTCTGAATTGCTTTCTTTCTATCTTTGTCTTACAAAACAACTGAACAATTTCTCCAAAACTAACCTGGGTTTCGATCATCAGAGACTGGAAGTTTCAGGGGTAGCCTCACTGGAATAACGATTGGCGCAGTCACAGAAACCCAAAAGATATGGAGAAGCTTCCAAGCTCTCGGAGACATAGCTTTTGCCTACTCTTACTCAATCATCCTCRTTGAAATTCAGGTACCTAGATATGATTCATTCTCAGTAAGCCCGCATACGACAAGATCATCTCTGAGTCTTAGATTACATCTGCTGATCAATTAATTACTCTGTTTCTAAACAGAACACACTCAAATCCCCACCATCTGAGGCCAAGACAATGAAGAAGGCAACCTTGTTCAGTGTTTTCGTGACCACACTGTTCTACATGCTCTGCGGCTGCATGGGCTACGCTGCCTTTGGCGATTTGGCTCCCGGAAACCTCCTCACCGGCTTCGGCTTCTACAATCCATTCTGGGTCATCGACATCGCCAATGCTGCTGTAGTTATCCACCTGGTCGGTGCCTACCAAGTCTTCTGCCAGCCCCTCTTCGCCTTCATCGAGAAATGGGCATCACAGAGATGGCCAGACAGCAAATTCATCACAAATGAGATCAAGGTCCCGATCCCAGGCTTCTGCCCCTATAAACTCAACCTATTCCGCCTGGTTTGGCGGTCGGCTTTCGTGGTGGCGACCACCATCATCTCCATGCTCCTTCCATTCTTCAACGACGTAGTGGGCATCCTCGGAGCCTTCAGCTTTTGGCCCCTCACTGTATTTTTCCCCGTCCAGATGTACATTGCCCAGAAGAAGATACCCAGATGGAGCACTCGCTGGCTTTCTCTCCAAATCCTCAGCTTCGCCTGCCTTGTTATCTCGGTCGCTGCTGCCGCCGGTTCCATCGCCGGCGTCATCCTTGATCTCAAGGTCTACAAACCCTTCAAGACCAGCTACTAATAAGTTTGCTTCTCTCGCGCGAACCCATCGTCGTCGGCAGCCTTGATTAAGCTTTCCAAGGCAAGAAGATCGGGCCATCAGAGGTTTTAATTAGTTCCCGTCCCTGTCCATGACAACAGTATCAAGTAAAGCTGTTGTTGGTTGTAGTTCAGATCTGTCAGTTGCTTCAGCTGCGTGAATTTCCTGTTTTCTTGTTAACAACTTTGGAGGCTCGCGGTACCATACGCAAGTGYATGGTATGGCATTCAAATGTAGTAGTCTCCTCCTGCTTGGATTGTTATAACTCTTTCTGCTTCTGATCAATCTTGTTCAGTGTTCTTGTTTTCACTTCAGCATGGACCAGTTGGTCCAGGTCCGGACTAGAAATTGTGTTGTGCAGAGTAAGACCTGGACCTCCTGGTCTCTCTTTGTTGGTTTTTATGGGGTTGAACCATTAAGCAAGTATTCCCTAAAGTGGATCGGTTTGGATGCATTGCGAGTAAAATTCAATAAAACATCTTGGTCATTTATTGCTAAAAGAACAATCGAATGTATCATGGCGTGGACTGATCCATGAGATTCAAATATGAACCAGAAATTGCAATATTAGCCCAATACAATCCAAATTGAGCTTACATCCCCAATGCATGGATATTATGGCGTGGATTGTAGTAGTGCTGTAAACGGATTGGATTGTACTCGGTAAACGGTATATCCAATTTGATTCTATAAAAATTTCAATTGATTCAAATTTGATAAGAATTTATTAGATTTTCAATTTATGATTTGCCAACATCTGGATCTGATTCGAGGATTATGGTAAAAAAAAATGGTGATTGATGCTCTCCGATCTGAGGTATCTATTGCAGTCAAATAATCTTGCCAACTGGCAAAGTCGAGGTGGAAAAAYGAAGCCATGCAACAAGATTTGAAACAAGAAAGAAATTAGAGGCTCGAGGAATTGTTCTCTGGGTAGGCACTCCGATGCTCAAGTCAGTAATGAGAGATGGGTGGTTGGGCCGAGCAGTTGAGAGAAACATGCTGATCCGAGCAGAGGCAGAATGATAGTATAGAGGCTGAAGAGTTAAAAGTCCTTTACCCTGAGTGGGGGTTACCTATTTATAGCCAAGGATTCATGTCTTATTCGGATGAGGCTTCCGGGGTTGTCAGGATGAGGTTGTTCGCCGAGGCCTTCGGGATAAGTTCTAATTCCCAGTGGAGTTGTTCTCTTTATCCGTATGGGGCTCCTCTTCTTGGTCACACTTATCCATCCTATGTGGTGCCGACTTGGCCGAAGAGATAAGATGGCCGCGGAGGTGCCACGTGGCACCCGGGGCTAGCTCAACCATAACCCAAACAGTGATATAACATAAATAATATATTATATTATTAAATAATAGGGTAAATTTCTTAAACTACCCTTATGTTTTAGCTAATTGACTAAGTGTACTCTTACTGTTTGAAAATTGACTAACACTACCCTTACTATTTYTGACAATTGACTAACTCTACCCCTATTGTTAACGTCCGTTAACAAAAAGGTGAAAAAGACTATTTTACCCTTCATTCCTTTTCAAAATTTCAAAATAAAACAGAGAAAAGAGAAAAAAATCTTGTTCTTTCTGTGATTTCTTTAGCATTAGAACAAAAAAATTGATGAGGTCAAAGTATTCGTGACAAAAAAAACCTAGAAAACAGAGCAAAAGAATTTTCGAATTTTTGTTTCTATG